AAAAAAAAAAAAAAAGAAAAAAGAAACAGGAAAAGTACAACTCATCCTCAGGGGAAAAAAAGCCATCAATAGAAACTGACTCCAAGTAGGCCTAGAGGTTGGATTTGGCAGACAAAGACTTCAAAGCAGTTATAAATATATGTAAAGAATTAAAGAAAAATCTAGTATTAATGAATGGACAGATAGAGAATCTCAATAGAGAAATGGAAACTATAAAAAAAGAACCAAACAAAAATTCTAGAGCTGAAGAGCACAATAACCAAAATTCACTAGCCTGACTTAATAGCAGAGTTGAAATGGCAAGAAAGAATCTATGAACTTGAAGACAGAGCAACAGAAATTATCCAATCCAAAAAAACAGAAAGAAAAAAGATTAAAAAAAAAAAGAACATTTCTCCAGAGGCACAGAGACAAGGACAATATCAAGGAGTCCAACAATTAGATTAAATTTAAATGGATTAAACATTCAATCAAAAGGCAGAGATTATGAGATTGGGTTAGATAAAATGAAAGACCCAATTATACACTGTCTAGGAGATGCACTTTAAATACAAAGACAGATTAAAAGTAAAAAGGATGGGGAAAAAGAGAGACCTTGCAACAGTAAGCATAAGAAAGTTGGAGTGGCTACATTAATATCAAACAAAATAGACTTGAAGAAAAGGAATATTACCATAGTCAAAGAAGGTCACTTCATAATGGTAAAAGAGTTAATCTGGTGGGGAGATAAAACAATTATAAATGTATATGCACCTAATAACAGAGCTCCAAAACACATGAAGCAAAAACTGACAGAACTGAAAGAAGAAATAGATAAATGAGCAAGTCTAGTTTGAGATTTCAATACTCATCTCAGTAAGTGATAGAATAGGTAGAAAGAAAAATCAGTAAGGATATAGAAGACTTGAACACTATCAACCAAATTGACCTAACTGTCATTTATAGAATATTCCATCCAACAACAGAATATACATTCTTTCCAAGCACACATGGAACATTCATCAAGATAAATCATATGCTGGGAATAAAATAAGTCGCAATAAATTTAAAAGGATTGAAATCATACAGAGTATGTTTTCTGAAAAACAAAGACTAAAGGACTTTCACTAAAAATCATCACAAGGCTGGTCACAGGACTTTATCTTCAATGATTATTAAGTCCAAACACCCTTCTCCTTAGGGTAAGTGCAGAGCCTGAAAGGACAGTGAAGAAAGGATTCTAGGGGATGGCCCGGTGGCGCAAGCGGTTAAGTGCGCACGCTCCGCTGCGGCGGCCCGGGGTTCGCTGGTTCGGATCCCGGGCGCGCAGCGACGCACTGCTTGGCAAGCCATGCTGTGGCGGCGTCCCATATAAAGTGGAGGAAGATGGGCACGGATGTTAGCCCAGGGCCGTCTTCCTCAGCAAAAAAAGAGGAGGACTGGCGGATGTTAGCACAGGGCTGATCTCCTCACAAAAAAAAAAAAAAAAAAGAAAAAAAAGAAAGGATTCTATGAAAGAAAATCCTTCCAGGCTTTTATACCTCAAGAAATGAGGTATATTTTTAGTTCTTCTACTTTAGTATGCCTGACTTGAGGTCATTATTGAGGCTAGAGCTTTCAGGCCACATGTTCCACCAAAATACACAATCTCTAATTCCTTAAAATTTCCAATTTCTCATCAGAGTATTTTAACAGTCTTTTCAGATTGTTTTAGACTCTGCTAAATCTATGGTAATCATATAGCTTTTACAAATAGGAATTATAATTTTGACCCTAGAATCAAATGAGTACGGCATAAGCCTAAGATGAAAGAATAAAAAAGTGCAGTAGTTTGCCTGAACTTGTCTGTGTTTATAGAAATCACTGACACCTCCAGAGGCTTTGAATCCACAAACAGATTAATAAGTAGCAGAGGGTGAGTATGTGTATACCTGCACACAGGCGCATTTGTGGCAGTGAGATGTCTAGAAAAAGTAGATTTGGATATGCCATGATATAGGAAAGATGAAAATCTAGAAGATGAATTGGCAAACTAAGGCCCCTGGGCCAAATTTGGCCTGCAGCCATAAACAGCTTTTATTGGAACACAGCTATGCTCATTTATTTACATATTATCTACAGCTGCTTTTGTGTTATAATAAGAATTGAATAGTTATGACAGAGATCATATGGACCACAAAGCCTAAAATATTTACTATCTGGCCCTGTACAGAAGAAGTTTGCCAACCTCTGATTTAGAGCAAAGATGGACTGCTCAAAGTCAAATATGTATTAGGAAACAAATACTGAGATACTAAAAGATTATTATTAGAGTAACAAAAAAGGCCAGTTACATTCTTTATTTAAAAATTACCAAAAAGACATAAAAAGCTCTAACAAATTTTGTAAATTTAAAACAAATTAAGTCACGATTTGACAAAGGCCCACATCTGAGAAAATGTCCAGTTTCTCACCTGATATTTTGGTGCATTGTTGCATTGTGGAAAACTGCCATTGACTTCTCCATTATGTAGTAGATTATTGTCCACCAGATTCCAGCCCCAGCTCTGGTCATCACTGCCTAGCAATGCCACATAACCTTGGCACTGCATGGGAGCCCGTTTTGTGGCAATTCCAATCACTGCCACAGTGCCCAGAGGGCCCTCCCACCACACTTCCCACGCATGGCGGCCCTCACTGAAACCAATCTTGGTCCTTGCACCATCAGTGCTCTGAGCAATGGGGTTTCGATGTAAAGTAAAACCATTCTTCTTAATGTAGACATTCCTGGAGCAGTCATTAGTGCTGAAGGCATGCTGGAAAGCACGTATCTGAAAAGATAAAAAACAGACCAAAGAAATAGAAATTTGATTTTTCTTTTTTTTTTTTGTGAGGAAGATCAGCCCTGAGCTAACATCCATGCCAATCCTCCTCTTTTTGCTAAGGAAGATCGGCTCTGAGCTAACATCCATCGCCAATCCTCCTCCTTTTTTTTTCCCCAAAGCCCCAGCAGATAGTTGTATGTCATAGTCGCACATCCTTCTAGTTGCTGTATGTGGGACGCAGCCTCAGCATGGCCGGAGAAGCGGTGTGTCGGTGCGCGCCCGGGATCCGAACCCGGGCTGCCAGCAGTGGAGCACGCGCACTTAACCACTAAGCCATGGGGCCGGCCCTAAATTTCATTTTTCTTAAACAAAAAAAGTACCCAAACTTTAGGCTACATGTTTTTAAACTATTAATAAAGTTATATATTTTTAAATAATACAATAAGTATTTCCAAAAAATGGCTAAAGTTTCAAAATGGGATATTAACATATAATAAATCATATAACATTTAAAATAACTGCCAACTGTTTCATTATTGACCAAAATTCTAAACCGTAGTATAACTTCTCCAAATAGACTTCTTAAAATATCAGAAGATATACACAGAATCCTTATAAGATAATACTGAAATGTTTATGGATGACATAACGATATCTGGGAACTGCTCTGAAATATCCAGGGTTGGAGTGGGACAGTGGGTGGGGGAAACATGAAACTAGACTGCCCATGAATTAATCATTGGCAAAGCCTGGTGATAGGTATAGGGAGGTTCATTAAACTATTTTCAATACTCTTGTTTATATTTGATGTTCTTTTATCAAAAAGTTAAGAGATGCACAGTTTTCATGTTGGCAATGCTGTCACCAAACAGATTATTTTAAGTAAAATAGAAAACTTAGCCATAGCTGCTCTAAAGTTTATGAAAAATTTTAATAACCACAAACTATCTTAGATCCTCAGCCTCCTTGCTAGGTATTACTCATACACTAAAACAGCACCACTCTCATTTTACCAAATCAAATAATCGCCTAGATAGCATCTAAATGCAACCACTAGAATTTATAAAGAGATAGTCATTGAGAGCAGCTACTAGTGATAGGACAGATTAGCTGACATTCAGTAGTCACCAGTTTTTTAAGCTTCCAAAATAAAGACAGTATGAAAACTGCTAGTCTGCACAAAAAATAATTCCTCACGTTTTAATAATTCAAAGCTTTTGGTTTGTACGTTTTTTAAAAATCCCTTCTTTACTTTATTCAAACTACCCAAAAGCAGCTGAAGGCTGGGATCTACTGTTTTAGTTAACCAGAGAAATGAACTCTAGATTCATAGAATTTCAGCATTAGGAAGGACCATAAAGGTCACCTAGTCCAACTGAGGGATGAGGACACAGACCTAAAAGTCACCAGCTAGTTAGAGCAAGAGCCCCAAACAGAAGTCAGGCACCCAGTCCCCTCACCCAGTGTTCATTTACTATTAGCCGGTACTTCACTGTTTCACTGTCGCACTCCACAGCAGAGAGATTAAAAAAAAAAACGCCTGCTTGTTTCAGGTATTTCATGTTTTCATAAGGAGGCTGTAAAGCTGAAATAGTCCTACATTTTTTCCTACCTGTTCCTATTTGTAATACTCTTGTAAGCACCTAAAAGATCAGAAGAATAGGATTAAGTGCGGGAGTAAAATGTCCCCCAAATATTAAGTATGGCCTAAATAACTCAAGAGATTACTATCAAGACAGTTAACTCATTATAAAATATTTAATTAATACTTACCTAAGCCTATTCCCCAATTCTTGTACATACCAATTGCTTTTTCTCTATTCTTATTCTCTTTGTCATATTGACACTGTTACCACCTCTTCCTCAAACTTCTATGACATCTTCCTATTACCCTGGACTGATCCTTTACCGTATTCTTTTTTGGTGACCATCCTATCTCTGCCCGCTGCCTGGCCTGCAAAGCCCTCCAGATCCGGTTCCTCCTATTTCCCTCTCTAACTTCATGTTGTTGTTCTTGTCTGCAATATCATAACTGCCTTCTCCTTCCACATATCCTCTAGGACCTGCTCCAGTCTTACCACCCCCACTAGGCTACTTTTACCAGGACTACCCAATCCCCCTTATTTCTCTCTCCTGAATTCCTACTCACGATAGTCTGCACCATACAACACTTGATTCTGTATACACCTCAACCACTTGATTCTAGTAAAAAATATCTTGCCCCCCAAAAATCTAATCTAACCTAAATTGACCAAACCTCCATAGGAAATAAAGAGGACAGAAGAGCATGTTAAGCAACACCATGGGAATGAAATCTGCAAAATCCAGACTGAAAGAAACACTACAGGGTAAACAACCTGGTTTCTTCAACAAATAAGTTGCAGGGGTGGGAGGTGAGGGAGACAGAGGGTCAAATTGTAGAGTAAAATAGCCTTAAGAGACACATAAACTGTTTGCCATAGGAATCTTATATAGATCTTGATTAAATAAACTGAAAATTAAAAATAGAACATTTGACATTTATGAGATAATTGGAAATTTGAACACTGCATTTTTTTATATTAAGGAATTATTGTTGGGCCGGCCCCGTGGGTTAGCAGTTAAGTGCGCGTGCTCCGCTACTGGCGGCCCAGGTTCGGATCCCGGGCGCGCACCGACGCACCGCTTCTCCAGCCATGCTGAGGCCACGTCCCACGTACAGCAACTAGAAGGATGTGCAACTATGACATACAACTATCTACTGGGGCTTCGGGGAAGAAAAAGGAGGAGGATTGGCGATGGATGTTAGCTCAGAGCCGGTCTTCCTCAGCAAAAAGAGGAGGATTAGCATGGATGTTAGCTCAAGGCTGATCTTCGTCACACACACACACAAAAAAAAACCAAGAAGGAATTATTGTTAATTTCTTTACACTTTAGATGTGATAATGATACTGTGATTATGTTGTGTTCTTATCTTTCAGAGATGGATACTGAAAAATTCCAATGAAATGGAAAAATAAATACACAAATTAACAAATAAAAATAATCTATAGTTCCTGTCTCACAGTTTCATGCACAACTTGGATTTTATGTTATAGCAAACAGACTTAATATCTAGTTTAGGACCTAAGTCTGAAATTTAGAGAATTATAGTTAGATGCTAAGTATGACTAGAAAAATTGATGTTACTTGGTGACATGTAAAATATGAACTTATAAAAAAGATGACAAATCCTAAATGATTGACAACTCCAAATACTTTCCGGTTTTGTGCTATCCCAAGCCTGTTCCCATTCTTCTTGCAGTTACCCAGGCTCCCTGGAAATCCCACCTCATTCTTCCTTCTTCCTCATCTCACTCACCTAGTCAGCTGTCCACCTATGTGGATTTGTTCTCTGCACAAAGAATTGCTCTCCTAGCCATCCCCCTCTCCCTTCTATACACTTGCTCAGGCCTTAAGTACCTCTAGTACAGGCACTAACCTCTGCCCTCTCTAAGTCATCTTACGGCCTAGTCTTTCTAAAGCACAGCTCCTCTTCTGTCACTCCTCTGTTCAAACTTCTGTGGCTTCCAACTGTACAACAAAGCCCAAACTACAGACTGAAGGTTGCATTTCAAGGACCTCCATGATATATCTACTTTCAGCTTACCTTTAAAATCATATATCCTACGACTTCAATTCAGTCTAACTAAACTATTTTATATCTCTTTACTCTCCCCTAAGCTCCAAACTGTAACAGCCACCTATCTGAAATCTCTTGGATGTCTCAAAAACACTGTAAATTCTACTCTACCAAAATTGAACTCATTGTTATTCCTCCTAAATCTGGTCCAGGTGATTCCTATATTATGTAAGCCAGATACCTAGGAGTCATCCTTAGCTCCTCCCTTTTCCTCACCCCTATTTCAAATCTACTGCCGGCTCCCGTAGATTTTACTTTCTAAATCTCTCCTAAATTTCTTCTCATCTCCTCCACTACCTACCTCCTAATTCACCTACCCATATTTCTAAGGTCCTCCTCCAATCTGTTCTCCATACTGAAGTTAGAAATAACCTCTTAAAAATGCAAAATAATCATATTACCAAACCTGACTCTCCTAACTCCCTCTTCCTTACAATTCAAAATGGCTTCCCCTGAGTTTAGCCACAGTCTACCTCTTCTATCTTATCTCAAACCTGCCTCACCTTTGCTCTCCATGGTCCAGCCACAATGATGTATTTTCTGTCCCTCATACTCATCAGGTTCCCTCCTGGAAGGCTCTTCTCTCTCTCTTTGGCCTATTTATCTTTATCCTTCAGGTCTCAGTTCATGCATTATTTCCTCAGAGAGAGCCTTCCCTGACCCTCCTAGGTCAAATCCTCCATTACTGACATTCAGAGCACCATGTATCGCTCCTTCATAGTACTTACCACAGTTGCAATTTTACAACTATGTGATTACTTGATTAATATCCATTTCCCCCCACTAGATTGTAAGCTCCATAAGGCAAGACATCTATAAGAGTTTGTGTCTGTTTTTATTCAACCTTACTTCTGCAAAACTGAACATAGTGCTTGGCACTCATATTTTTCTAAATAAAAATATATGCTGTACAAAGCCTTTCCTTTCCTCTTGTCCTGCTTTTGTGCAGGATATTTCCTCTTAGTAAAATGTTCAAATCCTCCCCATCTTTAAAATTCAGCTTAAATACAATCTCAACCTCAAACCTTTCACTCAACTTCTAGTATATATATATTTTTATACCTCTAACAATTAGAAGCAATTTCTACCATGTGTTAGTTCTTTCTATACATTTTTTTTCTCCTCTACTAAACTGAGAACTTCCTTACTAAGCTCTCTGACTTCTTTTGAATTAATCTTTTTATCCTCAAGATATTCAAGAAAAGTCCTGCATCATCTGAACGAATGTGTGATTAGTACAAGTCTACAATATCTATAGTGCACGTAGTAGCATGACACACAAAGTATTAAAAACTTAAGAATCCTAAAATATCTCTGGAAGAATACAAAAGAAATAGGTAACACAGGCTGCCTCCAAGACGGGAAACGGGGTGGCTGGAGGACAAGGGCAAAATGAAGACATTTTGCTTTATACTATTTTGCTTCTTTTGAATGTTGACTCACATGAACACATTATCTATTACATATTATTATATGAATATTGAATCATGTGAACATATCTACTACAGACCAATTACAAAAATGTCTTAATTAAAAATAAGTAAAAACAATAAACTTTATGGAAAAATAAAAACTAAATAAAACTTATGAAGCCTACATGTTTATCAGGCAAAGTAGGACAAAACTGCAATCTTCTGCACTCTGCTATATAAATTACAACTAGTATCCTTCGAGCATCTACCACGTACAAATATTGTCCTAGTAAATTAACACATTATTTCACTTGATAGAAAAACAACTTGACAGTTGACATATTTAACAGCAACATTCCTTATCTAGTAAAATAAAACCTGCTTTATTACAGAAGAATAAATTTTACATCTATTTCATGTGGAAAAAATAATTTACTTCTGCCTCTGACCCCCATTGGCAGTCTGGCATTAAAAAGGGATGTTTTCCTGTTTGGGTTATTGATATATTTTTTATGTTTACTACATTCTAGGTCAGACTTCATCCTCTCTCACATATGCTCTTGGTGACGGCTATACTAAACAGCTGTTATCCATCCAATTGAACTCAAGCTTGAGGCCTTCTGTTTTTATTGCCTGAAGAATCCTCTCAGCCCTACTATAACCTGTCATTTGACATTTCTATTTGTATATGAGAAAGGCAGGAATATGCACAAGAATCCATGAGGAAAAAAGGCAGCAAAACCGGAATCAGCAGGTTAGATGACAAATAGAACAGAAGAGACACACCATCAAGGTGGGACTATGAAAAAGTTGGCAAGGCAGTAGCCAATAACAGCGGGAAAAGGCAGTATTATGACGGTTAAGTGGCGCCGATGGGAGGATGTTCTATTAAAGCCTATATCTTGAAAGTTAGCAGGATGCCTAGGACCACACTCACTTATAAGCCTGAAACATAGTGGAGTGAATTAAAGAGAACTTGTGCGAAAATAAAGAAAAAAATGGTTATAAATCAGAACTTGGAAAAGGTGGGTTGAAAGCAAAAGTCTTAGAAACAAAGCCAATGTGAAGGCAGCCGAGATGATCTAATAAAGCCTATTTGGAGGGCAGGGAGAAAAAAATAGGATGAGAGTACTGGTACAACAATGGGGATGGTCTGTCTTTAAGGGGAAAGGCTGTGGAAAGTAGAATGAGTGATGGAAACCAGGGATAGGAAACCGTCTGGTCCTTTAAAAAGTGTATCACGGAAGGAGGATGGGTTAAGGAGCAAAACTTCAATCCTAAAAGAGGATCTTTATGGAGAGGAAAGGTGAGGTAAGGTACTGACTGGAGCGGTGGAAAGGCGGGATAGGGAGGCGAGGCGTCTGACCCAGAAGCTTAGATGAGAAGGACTGAGAGCTGGGCGGAGGAGCGGGGCTGGGGGCAGCGGCGTGGCCCGGGGCTCCCTCACCTTGGCCTTGTAGCTGGGCAGGTTGCAGAGGATGTCCGTGCGCAGAGCCTCTTCTGCCAGGCTGCGGGCGCACAGGCTCCGCCACACCTCGCTGTTCTCATCGCCGTGCAGGCAGCGGTACCAGTGCTTGCACACCAGGGCGCAGCTCCGCAGCTCGGACAGCTCCAGGTAGGAGAACACCAACTCCAGCACCCGGCTGGGCAGCCGACCCCCGGCCCCCGCGGACGCGGAGCCCGAGCCGGCGCCCGCGCCGCCGCCGCCGCCGCCGCTACAGCTAGCGCCGCCCGAGGCTGCCCCAGCCCCCGGGGCCGGCGCCGCCATCGCCTCACCAGCCGGCCCGAAGGCCGCCGCCGCCGCCGCCGCTTCGCCCCGTCTCTGCTGGGGAGGCCAAGGCTCGCCTGGAAACCAGAGGAGCTCGCTCACCGCCCCTTTCACAGCCAACCGGCCGGCCCCTCCACCACTCCCGCCCCTGCCCGGGGGCGTCCGCCGCGCGCCCCGCCTCACTGAGGGCAGACGCACCCGCCGCACGGGCGTCCCCCGCCCCTCCCCCGCGGCTCAGCGCGGGCGCCGGAACCGCCCGACTCGCAAGGCCTCCTCGCGGCGCGCCCGCGGCTCCGCCATGCGGGTTGAGGGCACGAAGCAAGGGCGCACGCCCAGCTCGCTCGCGGTTCCTCTCGGCCCCGGATGTGACTGTTTGGCTGAGGCGCTTCGCGCCCGACGCTGGAAGGGATTGGGCGCCCGAGAGTGAAGTCATCGCGAGGCGCCGAGGAGGCAAGCGGGAAGCGCAGGTATGGGGCTGGTGCCGGTGCGTTCGTGGCTGCCGTGCTGTGCCTTTTCCTCTTTTTGGTCGCGTGGTCCCTCATGGGTTTTCCTGGGCCTCTTTTCATGTGAGGTTTCCCTGTGTCAGCTAGGTCCCTGCTTCAGACTCCAACCTAATGCATAGAACTTCCCTCTCCTTGCTAGCCAGTTCCTAGCTCCGCCGCCTTCGGCTTGAGTTGGATCTTTCTTTACCTTTGGCAGCTAAGGTCATCTTTTTCCTGGTCAGGCCCTCTCGTTCTCGGTAAGTACCGGGACTTAGCGGAACGTGTGCCCCAGCGTATATTCGGAAAATAAGGTCGCCACATTTGAACCTCCCTCCCTCCCTCCCTGCCCCTCACCCCGCAAACGTTAGGATAACCATAAAGTGCCGTTAAAGTGCTTACTGAGTGCTACATTCTTCTGGACAAAATATGGCCTCTCCCAGTCTTTCCTACATCAGTAGGCCGATTAAGGCAGTGTGTTTTTATTTAATTAGACATTCCAGTCGGGAGAATGACGTGGAGACCGTAATTATAGATGGCTGCTTGGAAGGGAAAGAATTGCCGCATTATTTGATCGTACTGCGTTTTCCTGGGTGGCCCAAAAGTTTTTTTGACAGCCTTTAAAGAATGCCTAGTAAGAGAAAATAACTATCATCTGAGCCAGGCATTCCACTAGGGTCCTTTATGCGGGTTTTTATATAATTCTCAAAACAACTCTGAGGTAGGTAGTTATTATAATAGGGTTCGCAGATTCCCTTAGTAGTCAGTTCCACTGTCTCGCCTTTATTGTAGTGAGAAATCTTCCCAGAAGCTCCCCTGCTGTGTATAATCCATTTCTTGTTCTCCGCTAAAAACAAAAAATAGCAGCTACCTTCTCTACTCTCAGATACATGGTGTTTGATTGTTACTTCCCCTTCCCAGATGTGTTTTTCTCCACACTTAGTAACCCAGATTCTTTTCATTCTTGCTAGTGCCAGTGCCACAGCCCTTCAGTCATTTTGGTTGCTATCCAGTTTCTCCACGTCAAGACCAACTTTAGAAAATCCTAACATGGGAGGAGAAGTTGACCTGTACTTAATATATTGATAGTGACTCTCTTTCATTATATTATTTGAATGATAGTGTAAACTCAGACTAGGGAATTTAATTCAATATTCATTTTTCAGCTTTCAGCCATAGGACATCCAAAGAAGGAAGACCAAGTTTTATTTGGAAAGACACTTAAGTTTCTTTTAAATCTTTAAGGATAAGTAGAGTTGGTCCCTCTGTGAAGGGGCCAAAGAACCAGGCTTTAAAAGCACAGACACTTGGGCCGGCCCTGTGGCTTGGTGGTTAAGTGCGTGCGCTGCGATGCTGGTGGCCCGGGTTCGGATCCCGGGTGCGCATCGAGGCACCACTTCTCCGTTCATCCTGAGGCCGAGTCCCGCATACAGCAACTAGAAGGATGTGCAGCTACAACATACAACTATCCACTGGGGCTTTGGGGGGAAAAAATAAAAAAGAAAAAAAAAAAAAAAAAAAGCACAGACACTTAAAAAAGACAAGTGAGTATGTGGAGATGTGACTGGAGCAGAGTATTTAGAGTAAAGGTCATTAGGTGTTGGAAGGAATCTGCTATCTAATTGTAGTTATTCACAATAGGATATGATTAATTGTTGTGCTTGATCCTTTAGGCATCTACATATGAGAAGAGAAGCGTTGTTGACTTGATACCTGAGTATGGGGATAGTGGCACTTACCTATTTCTGATAGGCTTTCCAGTCCCAGTAGGAGAAAAACAAGAAACAGTGGCTTGACAACTCATTTCTGAAAGACTGTTTTGATTTAACCTAGATAATAAATCTACATTTTTCCCACTACCTTCTACCACAGCAGTCTGTCTGATTGTTGAACACTTTGTGATGGTAGTCTTTGGATGTGTTTCAAATAATTTTAATTTTGCAGTCTAAGGAAACAAGTGATTGGAGGGCTCTGGTTGAATCACTAATAAACACTGCATGATAAATGTTGACTGACTAAAGTTAAAAGCCTCAAAGTGTATGGATTTCTGGGGCTTTCCCAACTCTTTTTCTTAATATTCCCCGTAATAGGTCTCTGTTTTTATTTTTCTGACTAGCTAGGTGATCAGTAAATATCCATGTGATGTAGAGATTGGAAGTTTAGTTTGTTTTTTGCTCTGGTGCACAGAGGTGAAAGTAGAGCTGACCTTGATCTTGTGAGATTAATAGAACCAGAGTTACTACTGGTTCCATTATGGAAAAATTTACAGGAACTGTGTTGTTGTTTATAATAGTCCCTTTAAGTACAAAATCCATTTATTGCCTGACCTCACATTTTGGGGTGGAGCTTAACCAAAGGTATCTTTAGAATTGAGTTAATTTTTTTTCAGAAAAGAATTATATCAGAAAAAAACCTGCTAAAACTTTTGTCTGCCAGTCAGCATTTACTTAGATCCCCTGTGGGTAGATCTGTGATGGAGAAATAGAAGTACTAGAAACCCTGCCTCATGCGTGTCCTGGAGAAAACCTAAAATCCCAGCAGGGATCCAAAATGTATATGCACCCAAAATCCTAAAGCTGTAGAGGGCAGACTTCCAGACTTTAAAGTTGATTCATCATAGAAAAATTAAAACTCTAACTTAGGAAATAAGGGATCAAAATTCTAAAGATTCGTAACAGAATTATTTGTAACTTAAATGGCCTTTTCAATGGTTTAATTTAAATTTCATATTTTAAGGTAGGATATTGTCTTTATCATATGATGTCAGTAGTCACTAAAGATGGCAGTTCCTAGGCCTAAATAATATTAATACCTTTCATTTTAAATTGTGTCCTTTTTTCTTGGTTTATCTGAAACATTTGGCAAGAGTCTTTGTTATGGTAGCAAATTATTTAACTAATATTTCAGTACTTGTCAGCAAAAATCAAACCACCAGGGTTCCCTCTCTTAACCTTCCTCTGAGTCATTTCCTCTCCAAGCCTCCCCATTAAAGCTTATTACTGAAGTTAATTAGTTTCCTCTATATACTGATTGAGTGTGTCTGCTGAAATAAAAAGTGTATCTTTTTGTCGTTTTCCCATTTTGTCGTCTTTCTGAAAATTGCTGTATCTGATTTTGTGACTATGTTTCTGTTACTTTGATTACTAACAGATTAGTGATTTTTTGCAGTCTAGTTAGTGACTTTTGTGTGTGTGTGGCTAAAAGTGGGAGGAAATAAGCTTTGTGTTGGAAATAGAAACTTTAGGTAGAATGCTAGATAATTTTAAATGATTTTGCAAAACAATATTAGGAAATATATCTCTATCATTGGACTAAATTCAGGTATTGTATCTGAAAGTAGTAAAGCAATTATGGCAGTTTTTCACTAGATAAATTCTCCCTTGGCTTGTGAAATGAAAAATTAAATTTATTGAGATAGATTTCTTTTGTCTAACCATTTACATTTAGAGTTTCATAAATTACCGTGATTTCCTTGTTTGCTTTGCTCAATAGGCAGTTAAGGCAGGGTAGTATTATATGGCAATTCCAGTTTATAGATCTGCTATGCCTAGCATATCAGAAATCTAAATCTTGTACATAGGTACTACTGTTGTATAAGTGATAATAGGTGATAATGTGATTAAAGAATTGTAAGTTAAAAAGCAATAATGAATTATTAGTAGTTTTTCATCATTTTCTGTGCTTTCAAAGAATATTAACAAGTAAAACTGTTGACAAGTGAAATTGTTAGAAAAGAGTCTTCATTATTTAAAAGTTTGGGGTCTCTTTATATTGGATCCCATATACAAATCTTAAGGGCCAGGTGACTTTGGGCAAATTACTTAGTATTTCTGAGACTCAGTTTTATTATCTGTAAAATGGAATAATACCAGTCAGAAGGGTTGTTTTGGGAATAAAAATTATATAACGTACTGAATTAGTCTCTGGTGGTAAGACCCAAGGGTTCCAATTCCCCAGATGATGGTTGGTGTAGTACAGGTTCTCAACTTCTAGCACGCATCAGAATCAGCTAGAGGGCTTCTGAAAACACATTGCTGGGCCCCACCCCCAGAGTTTCTGATTCAGTGGGTCTAGGGTGGGGTCTGGCAATTTATATTTCTAACAGGTTCCTAGATGATACTGATGCTGCTAGTCTGGAAACCATACTTTGAGGACCATTCGTGTAGTATATATGATGCCACTTTGACCAGACTAATAAAAATAGAAGAGATAATGGTAATATTTGTTGAGCACTCATTATGTACCACACACTGTTATATATGCTTTGCGTATATAATCTCATTTAATCCTCTGTGATCTAAGAAATGGATGTTATTATTATTATTATTATTACCCCATTTTATAGAGAAGGAAAGTGAATGACGGAGAGGTTCAGTAACTTGCCCAAAGTCACCCAGCTAACAGGAAGTAGATATTCAAACCCAGATATTAGTCCAGAGCTCACTCTCTAAAACATTATTCAAGTAAAAGATATAACCTGATAATTGTGCAGCTGTCTCTTGAAAAGAATTTTTCCTAATTTAAAATAAATATATTTAGTGTTTATTCTTATGTGGGCCTCACATCACAGGCTGGAGAACCAGGCTTACCTGGGTCCCTGATTGTAAGGGAAGGCTTAGGCATGTGCCAGCCAGGTGCACCTCAACCCTGTGTTCAGCTAGGCTTTTGTGGACTTGATCTTCAAATGTCTTTTTTGTTGATTGAATTTTTTTTAGATGTCTTTGAAAAATACTTAAATGAAATACTGTTTATTGCATTTGCCAAGTTCTTATATAAAACATGAGATTATAGTTTTTTCTCCCTTTTCACAGAGTCTTCTGGGCCAATATGGCAGTCAAATGGACTGGTGGACATTCTTCTCCTATTCTCTGCCTCAACGCAAGTCAAGAAGGGCTAGTGGCTTCTGGGGCAGAGGGTGGAGATCTCATGGCTTGGGGTAAAGATGGAACTCCATTAGGACACACACGCTTCCAAGGGGCTAACGATGTTACCAGTGTCTTATTCTCTCCCTCCTGCCCCACCAAGCTCTATGCTTCACATGGAGAAACCATTAGCATACTTGATGTCAGGTCCCTCAAAGATTCCCTGGACCATTTTCACGTGAATGAAGAAGAAATCAATTGTCTTTCACTGAATGAAACTGAAAACCTCCTGGCTTCTGCTGATGACTCCGGGGCAATCAAAATCCTAGATTTGGAAAATAAGAAAGTTAGCAGATCACTGAAGAGACATTCCAATATCTGTTCCTCTGTAGCTTTTCGGCCTCAGAGGCCTCAGAGCCTGGTGTCATGTGGACTGGATATGCAGGTGATGCTTTGCAGAGAGGACTTGGTTAATTTCTAAATGGGATTTGCTAACAGAATCAGGTTATTGATTGGGCTAAATATATCTTTGCCTTTTCTATTCTCTATTAACATGTCTTGTCTATTTATGAACCATAAGCTTTACTTCTGCATGTTTAGTGCTAACTTGACAAAGCCTAATAGATTTTGTTTACAAAGTAATCATTAATCCTTTAGTCTTCCTTTCTCTGTGCTTTAATACATTCCTAAAACCTGAGAATTCAAATATCTGATTCTGAACATCTGTTTAAACAAAGGGGCGTGCTAAAGGCATTTATCACCCACGCTCTACAAACTGTTTTAAAAAAACAAAAAAAAGTTCGAGATACTGGATTTGTTGTTTTTAATTCAAAATTTTGGAATGCATTAATTGAAATATTGTGTATTGGTGAGCAGGATCAGAGGATTGTATTCAATGCTGAGTTTTGAAGGGAATGTCACAAATTAGCCCAAATTTAGAGAAAGCCATCAGGAGAGTAGATATATTTAGAAACCCCATTATGTGGGGAACTGGAGGTGTTTAATTCTTGGTTTTCATGAGGGGAAAAAGTGGCATATGCTGGTCTAAATAGAAATCATAGGGAAGCTGATTTTGGTTTAATAAAGCTTAGAAATAGCTTGAACTTTCCCACAGCAAATGTGCTTCCTCTTGAGAGTAAATCTTGTATCACTGGAGTGAGAATAATCATGGTTTCTCTTTGGTAAGCACTTAGTACTTGCCAGTACTTGCCAGTGCTTTATATATATATTAGTTTTTATTCTAATCACATCCTGATAGATAGTTATTTCTTTTTTACAAACAAGGAAGCTGAGATTCAAATTAAGTGTCTGCACAGCTGCCTGAATTGGGATTCAAACCTCAATCTCTCTGGCTCCAAAGCCTATAGTTTTTCTCTGTTACACCAGAGGTATTCAACCAGAATATCATCAGTGTGGTAGAAAAGCTTGGTTTGGGAACAGAAGACTTCTAGAAAAAGAACCATTGTTTATTGATGGCCTCTGTGCCGAGCACTGTTCTAGGCATTTGATCTACATTCTCAACTATATACAGTATCTTCTAAAACTCCGTGATTCTATAATAGCATCAAAAGTCTTGTCTTTCCACCATCTTGGCCAGTGATTATTACCACTCCCTCCTCCACTCTCCACACCCCTTCATAATTTAGAAATAGATGAGGCTCATTTTTCTTGTTGTCACTATGACTGCCATGCCTCCTCCCCAAGTACTGGTATTTAGTAGGGAGAATCAGTGGATGTCCTGCAGTGCTGGGACAGTCCCTAAACAATAAAGAATTGTCCTACCGGGCCGGCCCTGTGGCTTGGTGGTTAAGTGCGCGCGCTGCGATGCTGGCGGCCCGGGTTCGGATCCCGGGTGCGCATCGAGGCACCACTTCTCTGTCCATCCTGAGGCCGAGTCCCACATACAGCAACAAGAAGGGTGTGCAGCTGTGACATACAACTATGTACTGGGGCTTTGGGGGCAAAAAATAAATTAAAAAATCTAAAAAAAAAAAAAAGAATTGTCCTACCAAAAATGTCTATAGTGCCTCTATTGAGAATTATTGTACACTTATGGGGCACAGTGACCCTACGACCTCTAAACTCCTTTTCTACTCCTGGGTCTTGACCAGGCCCTTTATAAACCTCCTACATTTTCTACCCTAGTAGTGATAATCTGCCTTCTTGGTTATACAGAAAGACCTGCACAACCAGGTGGATACCTGTTTTAAGTAGGCAGATTGTAGTGTCTCTGACTCGTTCTTTCATCCTTTTACCAGTTTTCAATCATTGGTTCATTAACTAACTACTAGGGATGGCAATAAACAATTAGGTGTGCAAAAATGACCTATATTCTTCAGATTAGATAAGAAGTGGGCATCCAGAATTGACCATTTTGCCCCCAGTTCTAGGCAATAAATTTTAGTGGCATGCAGCTGCTAGAGAATAGTATAGGACATATTTTGTGAAAGGGAGGTTTAGGTAATTGCTTATTTGATTTCACTGCCAAGAATTGCTAAAAGTTCACTGTTGATTAACTTTTGCCCTGGGTTGTAAAATACCGACAGTGGCTAAGACAACACAACCATGGTTTTGTTTGTTTTTTGTGAGGAAGATCGGCCCTGAGCTAACATCTGCCAATCCTTTTTTTGCTGAGGAAGACTGGCCCTGGGCTAATATCCATGCCCATCTTCCTCTGCTTTATATGGGACGCTGCCACAGCATGGCTCGACAAGCGGTCTGTTGGTGCGCGTGCCGGGGATCTGAACCTGCGAACCCCGGGCCGCCGCAGCGGAGCTCGTGCACTTAACCGCTTGCACCACCCAGCCGGCCCCAACACAACCATGGTTTTAAGAAGTTACTTCATTAACTAAGTTGAAACTATAATTTCTTCCACAGTTTACTTCTTAAAACCTGGTTATCCAGTGTTATTCTAAACTTTAAGAGTAGCCAGCCTGTGGGGGAGTCCAAGAATATAGGCATAATCATGGAAGGGAGTTCTTTTTTGTGTGTGTGTGAGGAAGATTAGCCCTGAGCTGACATCCATGCCAATCCTCCTCTTTTTTCTGCTGAGAAAGACTGGCCCTGGGCTAACATCTGTGCCTATCTTCCTCCACTTTATATGGGATGCCGCCACAGCACGGCCTGACAAGCGGTGCCTCTGTGCGCCCGGGATCCAAACCCAGGCCGCCAGCAGTGGAGCGCACACACTTAAACGCTGCGCCACGGGGCTGGCCCCATGGAAGGGAGTTCTTATCAGGTTAATTTTGAGAGTTATTTCTCTCTGAGCAAATATTTTATCTTAAGGCAGGAACTGAATTATTACCACACACATCAACACACCTTTGTTATTATAGAAATTATAAAAATTATATCCTTTGATTTAGCTAGGTTTGAATAATTAGGCAAAGCATACTCAAAGAGGCAGGGACCTTAAGAACAAAGTGTAATTTATTAAGACACTTGAGACTGCTTAGTTTTTATTAAATAGGTACAAAATATTTATAATATGTAAGTGTAATGTATAAGGAATAACATATAATGAATAACATATAACATAACATAATAAAGGTATAAAGAATAATATTAAATAAATACCTGTGTACTCACCACTCAAATACAATTTTTTCTCGTAAAGACCTTTGGAAATTGAAACTATCATATATTTCTGTAGCCTACACATTGATTTCTTTTCCCCCTCATTTTTGCATCTGAAAATAAATGGTTCAAAGGTTTGTTCCATTTTGCATTTGAAAGATCACTAATACCAACACTTAAGAATCAGGATGCCACGTGGAAGAGGCTTTTTTTTTTCTTTTCTTTTCCTTTTTTTAACGCATAAAATTTTTTTTATTGCAGTAATATTGGTTTATAACATAAATTTCAGGTGTACATCATTGTATTTTGATTTCTGTATAGATTACATCATGTTCATCGCCCACAGACTAATTACAATCCATCACCACACGCATGTGCCTAATCATCCCTTTCGCCCCCCTCCTTCCTCCCTTCCCCTCTGGTAACCACCAGTCTAATCTCTGTCTTGATGTGATTGTTGTTTTTATCTTCTACTTATAAGTAAGATCATACAGTTATTTGACTTTTCTCCTGCTGACTTGTTTCGCTTAGCATAATACCCTCAAGGTCCATCCATGTTGTCACAAATGGCTGAATTTCATTGTTTCTTATGGCTGAGTAGTATTCCATTGTGTATGTATACCACATCTTTATCCATTCGTCCCTTGATGGGCACCTGGGTTGCTTCCAAGTCTTGGCTCTTGTGAATAATGCTGCAGTGAACATAGGGGTGCATGTATCTTTACGCATTCGTGTTTTCATATTCTTTGGATAAATACCCAGCAGTGGAATAGCTGGATCGTATGGTAGTTCTAGTCTTAATTTTTTGAGGAATCTCCGTACTGTTTTCCATAGTGGCTGTACCAGTTTGCACTCCCACCAGCAGTGTATGAGAGTTCCCTTCTCTCCACATTCTCTCCAACACTTGTTTCCTGTCTTGTTAATTATAGCCGTTCTGACAGGAGTGAGGTGATACCTCGTTGTAGTGTTGATTTACATTTCCCTGATAGTTAATGATGTTGAACATCTTTTCATGTGCCTATTGGCCATCTGTATATCTTCTTTGGAGAAATGTCTGTTCAGATCTTTTGCCCATTTTTTAATTGGGTTGTTAGGTTTTTTTTGTTGAGATATATGAGTTCTTTATATATTTTGGATATTAACCCCTTATCAGATATATGGTTTGCAGATATCTTCTCCCAGTTGTTAGTTTGTCTTTTCGTTTTGTTGATGGTTTCCTTTGCTGTGCAGAAGTCTTTTAGTTTGATGTAGCCTCACTTGTTTATTTTGTCTGTTGTTTCCCTTGCCCAGTCAGACATGGTACTTGAAAATATGTTGCTAAGACTGATGTCGAAGAGCGTACTGCCTATGTTTTCTTCTAGAAGTTTCATGGTTTCAGGTCTTATGTTCAAGTCTTTAATCCATTTTGAGTTAATTTTTGTGCATGGTGTAAGATAATGGTCTGCTTTCATTCTTTTGCATATGGCTGTCCAGGTTTCCCAGCACCATTTATTGAAGAGACTTTCCTTTCTCCATTGTATGTTCTTGGTTCACTTGTGGAAAATTAGCTGTCCATAGATGTTTGGGGAGGAGGGTTTTTTTTTCTTGAAAATGAATCTTTTATGTGGAAAGAAATGTTTTGGTAGGGGGAGATATTTTTGAGCGGGTCTTCTTGATATGATTGCTTTCACTTCTGAACATTTGTCAATTGTCCACTTTCTCTCCCTTTGATGTTTTATAGGACCATAAACCCCAAACTGTTATATTCTTTTCCCTCAATATCTCTAGCTCTCCTGCTTAGGGTGTTACCACTTGAACAGGTAGTTGAGAAATTATGAAATACCTTGGAATCTTTGTCAGTTAGGAAGAGTAAAGAAGTGTAAAGAGAATGTCCAGGCAGGAACAATTTGGGAATCTTCAATACTTGGAAATGATTCTTGAATTCGTGGAATCTAGGATGGCTATTAACACATTTAGATGATTTAAGTAAATACAAAAATGTTTTAGCTGCTGAAAACACTTTGGGGGTACTTCATGTTTGGGTGTCTTAGGAGGACAGAAAATATAATTCAGGCATTATGGGGGCTGTGCAAGAAAGAACTTGGGGATACCTGCCAAAACAGTTAAGCTAGCAGATTCTGGAATGTCCATTTTCCTTGTGTTCAGGTTTTTTTATAGAGACTATTTCCACATCAAGTTTTAGTACCATTCATTTTTGTTATAATTTCTGATATTTCTTTAATTTATTTCAGTTTGTTAGTATTTTGGCTTCACTCAAATAACAATTGCTGGCCACTTATTATAATGTTAAAAATCCAATCCAAAAGGATTTTCAGTGCTTTCCCTAGTAGAAGCAAAATATAAGTGTTCAATGTCACTTCTTTTGAAAGTAGGCTGAGTTGAGGGAACTTACTCTGAAAGAAAACCAAATCCTTAATACCATCGCAGTAATAATCTTGTCAATTCATATCTGTATTTTTGACTATCTAAACAAGGTCATGCTTATCCTAGTGTTCATTTTAAATTATGAGTCATAATTCAGGCATAATATGAGATGATAAAATAAAGCTAGCTATTCTCTGAAAGTATGAAGAATATTTTCCTTTTCAAATTGGTTGCTGCAGGAAGAAAATGAATCACTAGATTATAGAGTAAAATCAATTCATGAAGCTTGTTGTTTTGTTTTAAATAGATTTTAATTAGCATTTCATTTAAATCAATTTAGTAAGTCCAAGATCATGACAGGGAACGACAACAAAAAGCCAAATACACCAGGATGTCAAATTAATCAACAGACATGTTTGGAATTTCTCTTCTTTTCCAGGCATATGCTAGGCATTAGCAAAGCTGAATTAAATCACAAGAAACTGACAAGCTAGTAGTATATGTCAATTAAAAGAATAGCAATTAAATATGGGAGAGAGAGAAGTGGGCTGGAATAGTTAGGAAAGCTTTCTTAAAGGGACAGGGACTTGAACTAAGCCCCTAGGGTAGATAATTAGGGTAACGTGAAAGGAAAGGAAAAGCATTCCAGATATAAATTATTTCAGTGATATTCCAGATTTAGTTTATTTAGTTGAAAGGCATTTTTGCTTGTAACCAGCATAGACTAAAATTAATAAATTTCATAATCTTCAATTTTACTTGCAGAGATGAGGGTAGAATGACTTAAACTGGCAACTGCTTAACAATTTGGATTACCCTTTAATTGGTTTGTTAATCAAAAGTTATTCAGGATCTTGTTTTCTAAAGTCTACCTTACTACACTGGCATTCTAGTTTGGGTACCAGGCTAGCATTCCACTGGCATGTTGCAGTGCCGTCTGAACTTTTTTTTTTAATATTGCTGAAAATTTCATTCATTCTTGCTTTCATTCTCAGACTACTTTGATGATTTTATTAGAAGTGGAATAAGCATGATAGTTGAGCAAAATGGCTAGAACTCTGTTTGACTGTGTAACTTCCTCTTATTTAAAGGTAATGCTGTGGAACCTTCAGAAAGCCCGGCCACTCTGGATTACAAATTTACAGGAGGATGAAACAGAAGAAACGGAAAGCCCACAATCACCTGGTCAGCTTTTAAACCCTGCTCTAGCCCACTCTGTGTCTGTGGCATCGTGTGGTAATATTTTTAGTTGTGGTGCAGAAGATGGTAAGGTTCGAATCTTTAGGGTGATGGGAGTCAAGTGTGAACAGGAACTGGGATTTAAGGGCCATGCTTTGGGAGTATCCCAGGTCTGCTTTCTGCCAGAATCCTATTTGCTGCTTACTGGAGGGAACGACGGAAAGATAATGTTGTGGGATGTAAGCAGTGAAGTTGAGAAAAAACAGAAGAGTCCTACAAAACATACCCACAGGAAGAAAACTAAAAGAGCAACTTATACGAAGCAGGGTGGAAACACTAATGCTTCAGTAACAGATGAAGAGCATGGCAAAATTTTACCAAAGCTGAGTATTGAACATGGAGAAAAAGTGAACTGGCTCTTGAGTACAAAAATAAAGGGATACCAAAATATATTGGTAGCTGATCAAACTAGTTGCATATCTGTATATCCCTTAAATGAATTTTAAATCCAATAAAAACGTTTGAAAAACTGCAGCAAAACTTTTTTTAGGTTAAAAAAAAATCCCGATTCTTTGTTTAAATTGTCATATGTAGAATAATACTATTCCATTGTATAAATTTTAAGGCATTTGAGCAAATGAAGATAATTGAGTACTACTTCATATAGTAAATGATATTAAAATTTGGGGAGAGAGAACTAATACTCACTGAGTACTGACTAGGTACCAGCCATTTTACATGTATTTCATTTCTTATTCCAAGTCAATGAAGTGGGTGATTTCCTCCATTTTATTGCCCCAGGAATTGAGACTCAGAGGTGTTAAGTAACTTGAGGATCCAGGAAAATTGCAGGCACAATAACTTGCCTGCAGTGCTCGCTTCGGCAGCACATATACTAAAATTGGAACGATACAGAGAAGATTAGCATGGCCCCTGCGCAAGGATGACACGCAAATTCGTGAAGCGTTCCATATTTTTTTACTGCAATAAACAAAAAATTAAAAAAAAAAAATAATAATAACTTGCCTGCAAAGAATCTTGGTTGTCTTGTCAAGCCTCCTGCCTTAGGGAAACCCACATCCTGATCCAAATGTGGTCACCACATTAGTTATAACATGAGTTATTTTGGATCCTAGGATGTCATGAGGAGCCTTATCAAGTTGGAAGAGGAAACCTGTTCTTGCTTGTTCTGTGTAAAGCCCAGAAGGTTTTGCTGACAATTACCTTTTGCTGTTTCTAAAAAAAGGGTTCTGGGTCAAATCAGTTTAGGATATTATGTAGCAATCCACACCATGATACTGGTGAGACCAAGAATAAGGTGAAGTCATGAGTAAGCAGAAACTCTGACTAAGCAGAAGGTATAGGGTGGAGAAGAGAAAGAAGAGGTAAAGAATACAGGCCAAGATAGTGTGTCAAGAGTAAGTTCCTTTTCCTCATCACCTGGGTTGCTGTCTTCTCTGCATGTTCTTGCTGCTTCTGCTTATACTGCCTACTCTTATAGTCACAGTTTTGAAGGGAGAATCTGATAGGTTATCATTATCCTTGTTTGTGTCAAACTCTTCTGATAAACTCAATTTTAGAATGCTTGTTGCAAGTGACAGAAACCAAATTCGAATTTGCTTAAGGGAATAGAGAGGAATTCATTGGCTCACGTAACTGAGAAGTCCAGGGATAGTCAGGCATGTACTGCTGGGGTAGCTAAGCTGATAGGATGTGAGTCTATAGGTGCCCCGCCTTGTGGAAAGTCTTTCCTAGAGGTGAAGAGAGAGCACCCTCACAGTAATTTTTTAGCCTGAAACAAGTGTATTCTTGGAGGCTTTTTTTTTTTTTTTTTTTGCTTATGCTATTTGAGCCGGACTTTTAATTGCAGCTAAAAGAGTCCTAACCAATGAAGTGGGCAATCAGTAAATACTGTTTAGTGATCTCACGTGGAGTTTAAGGAAAGGAAAATACCATCTTGGCCCTAAACAAAATTTATTGGCAAATGACCCTGGTGTGAGTATTGATAGAAACAAGGTTCTGATCCCAGCACTGAGCAAGGCTCTTGGCCATTTTGGGCCTTAGTTTTCTTACTTGAAAGTGGAGGGGTTGAATTAGACATCCTGTAAGATGCCTTCCGTGCCACCGTTTTATGAAATGAAAACAATATTATCATAATATTGTGCTTAGCCAGTGATTATAATGTTTATAAAATGTCAGGAAGGACTAATAATCATGGGCAATCTCTGGAGTTTTAGAGGGATCTTTTGAAAAGTTACCCAAGTACAGCATCATTTTAGCTATTGAGCATGAATAATTTTGTGGAAGCAAGGTAAGAAGTATTTAAAGCAGGAGTGAAACATCATTCTTAATCAGATTTCTTTTGGTAGCCCATAACAGATAGCCACTCAGACTGCTTAAGCAAAAAGGGAAATTTACTATCCCAATTGGTGGAGGGGGCAAAATTCTCTATTAACCTCAAGCAGAAATGTAGCTCGGCTTCATTTGAGTCTCTAACCAGGGAAGCCATTAAGAACCAAGGCAGCTGTACTTTCCATCTCTCTGAGTCCCTGTGGTCACTTATCTCTGCTTCTGGCTACATAATGGCTTTCACTTGACAAAAGATGGCTTTTCAGGGCTACATTAGCAACCCATGTCAGTTCCAGAAACCAAGTGAGCAGTGTCTAAGTTCCGGGTCCCTGAAGAGAATCTGATTGGTCCAACTTAGTTAATTGCCTATCTCTGATCCAATCAGTTGTGACCGGGGTTGGGGGGGGGGTGTTATCACTTAGCGTCAGCATTACCAAAGGGGCCAACCCCCATAGGTGGAGAGGATAAGTATGGACTGAACCAATAGTATGAGAAGATCTACAACCATTGAAATTTTGGTAAATTTACAGTGTGAAAATTATATGCAAAAGGAACTGTTCTTAAGTCAGCTGTTTTGCTAGTTTGGCTCTCAATTTGCAAGCAGCAGAGACATGCCCATGTTACTTTAGTTAATGAGAGTTTAAGGAAACAAAGTAAGCAAAAGAAAGCACCACAGCGTGGGCTGCCTGAGAACCAGGGTATCATTTTGAATATAGCTTACTCTAGTAGCCAGCCAGCCATTCAGATAACAAATAACAACTCTTAGAAGTGGGCTTCTGTGTCCCCCATCTGTAGTAGGCTGAAGATGTCTCCCAAAGATACCAGGTCCTAATCCCTGGAACCTGCAAATGTTACCTTATTTGATAAAATGGTCTTTGCAGATGTAATTAAGTTACAAATCATAAAGGATTATGTTAAATGAACATAATCATGGTAATTGTGTACTTGCCTTTCTATTTTTATTAGAGTATAAGATGCTTGAGGGCAAGGTTTCTGCCCTGTTTACTTTCAGAGCTTATGATCTGGCCTGTCCTGGATTCCCCCAACTCACACAAACAGTACTCATTAAGTATTAAGTGAACCAAGGGAAGGTCCAGAAGGGGAAAATGTTAAGAGATGTGGATAGAAAATAATAATAAAGGTCAACCTGAAGGAAACTGGTAGCAGGGTTACCTGACAACCAGACTGAACTCTTTGCTCATGCTTCAGGTTATTTTTAACACCAGCTATCAGGGCAACACATAGCTCTCCCAACCAATGTTCAATTTACAGACACCCATACATGCTCATTTCACATTTGATGTTCCGTCTCCAAATTACAATTGGTTTGTGGTCCAAGATAGACAATCCTGGGGCTGATGCAGTACTGCCCAGTTGCTTCTCTCTGCCCAGAGCAGAAATCCCTTCAAAATTAATCAGTCACTCTCAGGCAGAATTATGTATAATCCTGGTGCCTTAACCTATGAACAGCTCTCTCTTGACCTCAGTTTTCCTATTGGCAAGCAGAGAATTAGAGAAAAACAGAGGAATACACTGCACATGTGCTCTGTGTGTGTGTATGTGTATTTGGTGTCTGAACTATTTGAAAGTGAGATACCATGACACTTGATTTTAAAATACATCAGCATGTATCTCCCGAAAAGGAGACTTTCCAGTATAACTGTGAAACTGATATCATATCTAAGAAACTTAGCAACAATTCACATTCTTGCTCTACACCAGCCCATTGTGGCTAATACCATCCTTACTACACTAAAGTCTGGTGATGGGAGAGGGTGGTAGCCAGAACCGCAGAAGACGGTCCCCTCAGCCATGGGCAGGTCTTATGGAGGTGAGAGGCTGGGGACAACAGGCATCTTCTGGCTCAGTTGGGATCTGAGCAGAGGTGGGTCTCCTTTGTAGCCAACCCTCTTCCCGTAGGGTGTCCCCAGCAGGGAAGATTGCTCCTTCCACTGGGCTAAGGTTAATTTTAGAGACTTACGTTGCCAGGCCAGAGGGACATTGTAGGAGGGTGAGGACCCGAATCCTCAGCTGGAGTGAACAAGGTACCCTCCTATCACCACTACCACCACCTGGGCCATACTCCAGCCAGAGAAGCAGGACTTAATCTAGGCCCTGAGGAGGATGTGGGAGGAATTCAGAACACCTCCCCAACACCTGGAGAACCCCTGCCATACCCTGGTACTCGGTGGAGGGAAGGGCTGGGCTGAGGTTTAATAGAGCCTCCATCAAGTTCTTTTCTCTATAGCCATAAAGAGTGCTTGGGGAGAGTGACCCAGAGTTCACTTGGGCATGATTTTCCTGTAATCCTTCTAGCCAATGAATGAAGAAGCATCCAGAGCATGCAGTGATCAAGTAAAAAAAGTCCTATTGACTTACAAATATTGACACAACAGGTCACAGGTAGCTAGTGACCTAAAAATTGAGTGCATTTTTGAAAGTTTAGCTACTCTGTTTAATTTTAGAATTTCTACAAAGTACACCATCAAATGTGTGATTTATCATGAATGAAATACAGTGAAAGAAAGTGTTTATAAGAATTGTATGCCTTCTGAGTCCACAGACTTGACAAAATCTGCATGTACTTTTCAAACCTGAATTTACTCATAAATAACTATATGTTACACTCTCGGGAGTTCAATTATTGGATTCATTAAGTATTATATCTGGGATGAACAAGATTGTTCATTGTGTTACAAGCCAATGTGTGGCTGGATAAATGCAATATGTTAATATGAAAAATTATTAAGATATAAAAGACAAACTGTCAATGTAATCAACGGATTCAGTAAAGTTGCAGGATATAAAATCAATACACAGAAATCAGTTGCTTTTTGATACACCAACAATGAGACGTCTGAAAAAGAAAACTACTCCATTCAAAATAGCATCAAAAACAATAAAATACTTAGGAATAAACTTAACCAAGCAAGTCAAAGACCTGTACACAGATCTGTACAAACTATAGGATGTTGCTGAAAGAAATCAAAGAAGACACAAACAAATGGAAGGACATCTCATGTTTGTGAATTGGAAGAGTTAATATTGTTAAAATGTCGGTGATACCTAAAGCCACCTATAGGTTAAACACAATCCGTATCAAAATTCCAGTGACATTTTTCTCAGAAATGGAAAAAACAATCCTAAAATTTGTACGGGACCACAGAAGAGCCAAAGCATTCCTGAGAAAGAACAAAGCCAGGGGTATCACACTTCCTGATTTCAAACTATGCTACAAAGCTATAGTAACAGTATGGTACTGGCATAAAAATAGACACGTAGACCAATGGAACAGAATAGAGAGCCCGTAATTAAACCCCCATATATGCAGTCAACTAATATTTGGTAAGGAAGTCAGGAACATCCAGTGGGGAAAGGATAGTCTCTTCAATAAATGGTGTTGGAAAAACTGGATAATCACATGCAAAAAAATGAAATTGGATTCTTACCCCACTCACAAAAATTAACTCTAAATAGATCAAAGACTTAAGACCTAAAACTGCAAAACTCCTAGAAGAAAACATGGGGAAGAAACCCCTCGACATTGGACTTGGCAATGATTTTTTGGATATGACACCAAAAGCACAAACAACAAAAGAAAAAACCAACAAGTGGGACAACATTAAACTTAAAAGCTTCTGCACAGCAAAAGAAACAACAAAATGAAAAGGCAACCTAAAGAATGGGAAAAAATTTTTGCAAACCATGTATTGAATAAGGGGTTAATATCCAACATTTATAAAGAACTGTTACAACTCAATAACAAAAAAACAAATCTGATTTTAAAATGCACAGAGGAACTAAATAGACATTTTTCCAAAGAAGACATCCAAATACGCTAACAATGAAAGTTATGTACCAAGAGGTACGTGAAAAAGTGCTGAGCAACACTAATCATCAGGGAAATGCAAATCAAAACCCTGATGAGGTATCACCTCACACCTGTAAGAATGACTACCATCAAGAAGAGATAACAAGTATTGGCAAGGATGTGGGGAAAAGGGAACACTTGTGCACTGTTGTTGAGATTGTAAACTGGTTCAGCCACTACAGAAGACAGTATGGAATTTCTTCAAAAAATTAAAAATAGAACTACCATATGATCCAGCAATCCCACTTCTGAGTATTATATCCAAAA